TTTTTGGCGACTAAAAGTTTAGTCGCCAAATATTTATTTTCAGCGATTAAAAAATATTTTAGTCGCTGTATAGTATTATTTAGTCGCCGAATGAAAAAAAAATTTTATTTTTTATCTTTGGCGACCAAAAGTTTGGTTGGCAAAAATTTATTTCCAGTGACTAAAAAATATTTTAGTCGCTATATAGATAGTTTTAGCTATTAAAATTATTTAGTCGCCGAATGAAAAACAAAAAATTTCTTTTTATCTTTGACGACCAAAAGTTTAGTCGCCAAAAATTTATTTTCAGCAACTAAAAAATATTTTAGTCGCTATATAGTTACTTTTGGTTACTAAAATTATTTAGTCGCTGAATGAAAACAAAAGTTTTACTCTTTTTTTTTTGCCACCAAAAGTTTGGTCGGCAAAAATTTATTTCAGCTATTAAAAAATATTTTAGTCACTGTATAGATAGTTTTGGCTACTAAAATTATTTCGTCGCTGAATGAAAAACAAAAATTTTCTTTTTATTTTTGGTGACCAAAAGCTTGGTCGGCAAAAATTTATTTTCAGCAACTAAAAAATATTTTACTCGCTGTATAATTAGTTTTGGCTACTAAAATTATTTAGTCGCCGAATGAAAAACAAAATTTTACTTTTTTCTTTTTGGCAACCAAAAGTTTGGTCGGCAAAAATTTATTTTCAAAGACTAAAATATATTTTAGTCGCTGTATAGTTAGTTTTGGCTACTAAAATTATCTAGTCGCTGAATAAAAAACAAAAATTTACTTTTTTTTCTTTGGGGACCAAAAATTTGGTCGCCAAAAATTTATTTTTAGCGACTAAAAAAATTTTTAGTCGTCAAAGGACTAAAATATTTAGAGGGAGACATTTCAAATTTTGGAGGGATTATAAAATTAATTGGCGACCAAAAATGTTTAGTCGCGAATTGGAGGGATTGATATGTTTTGTTTCCAAACCAAACCCTAAACAAATCAATGCCTCTCTCTATTTAACGTCTCTCTCCCTCTCCCTCTCCCATTCCTCTCTTACCACCGCCCCACCAGCTACGAAACAGCTCTCCTTCGCCGCTCCTCCTCGTGTTTGCCGGCAATCAGAGAACCGATTCACCTCCATGTTGGTCACTGTCGCCTAAGATCCTAAATATGGGTTTGATTTTAGTCGTTTGATACATTGTCCCCTCTTTTTCCTTTCTCTTCCATTAGTTTCAAAGCCCTACTCCATTGATTGTTTATGTACGGGTGCTATAGTCTCCATCTGCTCTCATTCCTCTCTCTCGTTCATTTAGATTCCAATTTCACATTTCTTTTTCTTTTTCTTCTTCTTCTTCTTCTTCTCTTTCACATTTTCCTTGTAATCTCTCTTATGAATTTGCTTTTAGCCACTAAAAGCTTCACCTGAACTCTGAATGATCTATCAATTCGTCAAAATTTCAATTCCTTTAAAACTTTTTAAAGGAGTTTGGATTCTCTCAAATTATGTATCTAAATGTGTTTCGAACATATAGTTATCGATATCCGATTTTCTTAATTGTTTTTATGAATATTCTAGTCAATAAATTGTAAAAAGTGAATGGTTCGAATCGCCAAAATCAATCTCAAAATGAGCCCAAAAAACCCAAAGTTGACATAACCAAATTAACAAAATCAAAACTCTTTCCAAAGTTGAGGGAGGTGGCCATGTTTGGTTTGATTTTTTGAAACTTGATTCAAATTTATTTTTTTAAGACTAAAAATTAGTTTCGTGCAAAAAATTAAAAAAATCAAAACTACCTTACTTGTCAATTTTATATAATTTTACGAAAGATATGATCAGCTTGTTTGATTTGGATTTTCAGTATTTATTATTCAGAAAATTGAAATTTTTTATTTTTCGTATTTTTTTGTTTTCACTAAATGGGGTGAATTACACTAACGGTCCCTATAGTTTGGAGTTTGTGTCACTTTAGTCATTGACTTTTCAATTATAGCGTAGTTGATCCTAAATTTTGATTTTTGTTCCAAATAAGGACAATTAAAGATCTTATTGCTTAATTTTAAGGACAAAATTGTCAATTTGATAAAATATAAACAAATTTGACAAAAATAAATGTAAAAAAATATTTTTGAATTTTTAAAAAATATTTTTGCCCACTAAAGATAAAATTATGTAAAATTGATAAATCTTTTAAATATTTATTTATTTATTTTACCAAATTAATTTCTATTATGTGTTTGGATGATGATCATGTAATGAGTGGCTATTTTTATTTTCATTAAATTAATTTCTATTTTTTCAAAAATCAAATATGGAGACAACTTTGATATCATTATTAAACCAATCCATTAAATCAAAAAATCCAAAACTAAAAACATTTCATATATTAAATATATTGATTACATATTAAAATCCTAACAACCGCCCATTACATGATAATCATTCAAACACATAATAAAAATTAATTTAGTAAAGTAAATAAACAAATGTCTAAAAGATTTGTTAATTTTACATAATTTTATCTTTAGTTGGTAGAAATAATTTTTAAAAATTTAAAAATATTTTTTTAACATTTATGTTTGTCAAATTAGTTTATATTTTATCAAATTGATAATTTTTCCCTTGAAATTAAGTAATAGTATATTCAATTGTCTTTTTTTGGAACAAGATTCAAAATTCAACATCAAATGTATCACAATTAAATAAAAAGTCATGAACCAAAGTGATACGAGCCCCAAACTATAGGGATTGTTTGTGTAATTCGCTCCACTAATGTTATATTCTAAGCATTTTTTTAAATTTTTAGATATACCAAATATGAATACACTTTAAAAGTATAATATTTGTGGAAAAAAAAAATAAAAAATTCACTAAATACTAGAAAAAAAATATATGAGCATTCAGTACATTTTTCATATTCTTGTGTGTTTATTAATTTTTTTAAATATGTTTTGATAAATATTTTACTTTTTTAATACATCTAAGTAAGGTAAATCTAAAAAGAAAAAAAAAATAACTTAAAATTTTAAAAATATTCACTAAAAACAAAAAATAAAAAACTCAATTTTTAAAAAATTAAAACCAAACAATTTTTAAAAATTCAAAAATATATTTTTTTAAAAAAAAATCAACCAAACAGGCCCTCAGTTTTTAACCTCCCTCCCAAATTCCCCAATGTTCAAATTTCCCTCAAAACCTTACCTCATTTCAGCGCCTCTGATATCGTTTACCCTTTCTTTCTTTTCACACTCAGCTCATCTCTCTCTTTCTTTCTGCGTGCGATTCATCACTTTCCCTAGTTCTCCCCACCTTCACGCAACTCATCTCCTCTCGCCTTCCATCACCACAGCCGGTGAGCGTGGCTTCTCGTCATCACCGGCCTCTCCATAATAATTGGTATGTATATCCTTCTGTTTCTCTCTTTCAGTATACCCTAACATTTATATTTGTTTTCCCCCCTTTCCTTATATTTGCCCTACCCCCTTCACAAACACTGATCGGTCTCTTTGCTCTCTCTATCTCTCTCACAGTAATACGACTGGTATGTTTGTCTATTTCTGATTTGATCATTGTTCTCTGATCTTTATTTCAAGAAAATTTTATTAATGTAAATGTGTAATTGTTTTGATTTTCCTTTATTGTGACTATGTTCATCATAATATGCTTGTCCACTGATATACCATCTTTACGAGGGATTTGGAGCAGGAATTGACTATTGGTTGGTTAATATTGAGGTTGGTCTATCTTGGTGATTGTTTTCAATTTGTGCTCAGATTATATATATGTTTCCAATTTTGATCAGTTCATGCCTCGTTATGACTTTGGGCTTGTTAATAATATGACTTAGATAGGAAAGAATAAATGGAATGCCTCAGATCAGTTAATGATACATGGTTTTACATTCGCAGGTTCTCCAAATATGTTTGTTAACACAGGATCTATCTTTTATTGTTGTTGGAGGCTCAGTGATTGCGCTGTTCATTGATTCAATCAACTATTACTTGTCTTTTTTTTGGGTGGGTGACTATTACTTGTCTTGAAATACACCATTGTGCAGAAAATATGAACCATATCTAAATCCTGTAACAAAGAACTTTTTCCCATCCTGGCAACTTACAAATTGTCTTTCAAATTCTACTGCTTTTCTTGTTTTCAAAATGTTTTCTTGTATTTGCATATTCCCTGCTGCAATTGTGAATTCTTGTGTATGATATCAGGCATTGGGTCCAAGCCGTATTCCGGTGAGTTTGTATCTACACCTATTTTTGCATACATTGTTATGTTCTTGCTGAAAAAGTACACCATAGGAAAATATTGTCTAAATATATTTTTGATGTTCTTGCTGAAAAGTATTTGATAGGTTTACGAAATTAGTAATGAATTTTTTGCATACATTGATTTGCATGCTTTTCTGATAGGGTTAAGATTGGCAGAGAGGGCCTAGTATCTTTTTTTAAGGGGTTGAGTGGGCAGCAGTGATTTTGAACTGCAGATTGGCTTATGTTGAAGAAGCCTTTAGCAGCAGCTGCCCCTATGGAATTGCTGAAACAAAACATGGCTGCTCTAGCATCCTCATCAGTGTCGTTCTTTGGTATAATAGATGAAGATCAAATCCAGATGAAACAACAACAACAACAACATTTCTCCATACCCACTTCTTCAACTACTCCTCCAACCACAGCACCACAAAAGAAAAGGAGAAATCTCCCAGGAACACCAAGCAAGTACCTTACCTCCTAGCTATTATTGCATATCTATTATGTCATGAGGCGTAATGTTAGCAAATGGTTGATTTGGGGCTCATTTGCATTTCATCTTATTGAATCTTGTTGTAAGGCTGTTATTTTCATTTCATTTTTCAAACTTGTTTGCTTTGTCCATAACATTTGCCTCAGCAATATCATGTTTCATGTTGATCCTTATTTGGTTCAATGGATTGAATATGGAAATCTCAAATCAGCTTCTGATAATTCATTGGAGAAATCATTTGCTTGCCTTACGATTTTGGGATTGAATTTGTATAGGAATGTCAGTAAAGGCTGCAAACTAGTTTGGATGTGGTTCTGCAGTACCAAGTCTTCAGGTTTCCAATGATGATCTTGCCAAAGTTGATACTTCAGATGAGTGGATGTCTGTTCGCACTGGGATCCCTAATTGACGAGTTCTAACAGGTCAGTTTTTCCTCAGAGTTCATGCCTGGTGGCATTTATCTGGTCTTATGAACAGTTTGAGGTAGCTTTGCTTAGTGCTATTATCTGAGCTTCATTTTGATTGCAAGACTAAAATTGAGCTTTAGCTAGACTAAGTTGCTTACATCTTGATTTTTGTTTGCCTGGCTAGGATGGGTTGGTTGGGTTACCCGGGTATTGATTTTTGCAGAATTCATAATTTTGTATGGAACAAGTTTATTTCCTGAATCACCCTAACTGTATTATTAGACTGTGGCGATCTTGAAGTCTGCTAACCATGGCATGCCTGAGCTGAGCTAAACCCAACCCAATAATTGTATTCTTGAGCCAGCTTAAGCTAAGTTAGCTGCACTGATTTCTAATTTTCTTTTTCTATTTCAAAGAAATTATAATACCCTAGTGTCACTTCCCCAATTTTCTTTTCTGGATTCTATGGGAGTCATTTAAGAGAAATTGTGGTTTCAAAACTCACCATTTGATATTTGTGTTTACCCTAAGATTATCTTTCAGGGCAGATTACCTTTTATATTGACTTTGATTATGTAGCAGTGGGTTGTGGCCTGGGATTATTTTTCTAATTGGTTTGACGTTTAGTGATACATCGACTCTAGAGGATCTGAAACTTTTGGTAAAAGGAATGGTGAATTAAGTACTTACAACCCAGTTAATAGAAGAATGGATGGTCTTATTTTTCAAAGAAAAAGCAAACATGTTCAAGAGTAGCAAAGCCCCAAAGAAGTCCAAGTACAAGCTTTGCTTTAATTCACTTATATCTGCTGTTTAGTAGCTAACTTGCTAGATCAAATATTCACTTATATATGCTGTCTAGTTATTGCAATATGAGGTATAAAATCCAAATGCAAGCATTGATTGATAACATCAATTTCAATTATTAGAATTATTATATTGATAGAATTTAATCTATGGGTCATACATCCATTACTCATGAAATTTTTCTGAGTGTGGTGCATTGATATTGATATAATTTTAATGTTGATTGGATGTATACATATGAATGTTGTTTTATTACAAAATGGTGTTGATAGTCCTTTAATTTGTTCATGTTATCTTTATTTTCCATGGATCTTATTCAATTTTTGTATAATTTTACAATCCGAGTGATGCGCAAATATTTTCATAAAAAAATTACCTGACATTATTTTTGTTTTTCTTTTGTACAGACGAACTCGTGCATGAAGCTGAATTGTATAGGACTAGTCGGCACTTGTTAGATTAAGGATTCTATTTTTGGATAAATGTGTATGGAAAATATTTGGGTAGACTACTAGTTATATTTTTGGATAGATGCATATGGATAAAAATTTAAAACATAATAATAACTACTTGTTTTGTTTTAAATTTTTATACTAGATCGATGTGAATTGGATGATTATATGGTGGTGTTTGGGAAGTATTTTTTTTTTTTTTGCTAAAAAAACACTAAAAGACAAAATTGGTTAAAAAAAAAAAAAAAAAAAAACAAATCTAGACAAAATGTCACATTAAACCCATGATCATTTCATTTTTTTTTTCTCACAAACATCACATTCAATTAAAAAAAACCTAATTATCTTTCCAAATATAAAAATTTTAACCTCTTAAAATAATCAAAAACTAAAAAAACTTATTAAAATAACAATTTCCTAAACACCCACATAGATTACATGACCTATTTAATTGGACGATTATGTAGTTTGAAATTACGTGTGAATGAAAATTTATAATAGTTGATTTTAATTAAATAGTTAATTTTTGGCTAAGTTATGTATTTTGTTGAATATTCATGATTTAGTTGATTTTGTTAGTTTGAATGATTCTTGCAAATTACAGGTTATATTAAATGATTTGGATGGATTATCATATATCATACAGGTCAAATGGAAATTTTTTTTTTTTATATTTTATTTCTATTTTGATAAACAAGAAGAATTGAATTGGCGACTAAAATTTGATTTGGTTTTTTCTTTTTTGGCGACCAAGTGATTAGTCGGTGTTTAACCATTCACATTGGGCAATCAAAATGTTGGTAGGTGAAAGGATACATTTGGCGACCAAATAATGAGTCGGTAAAATTATTTGTTTTGGCAACCAAAGTGTTTGGTCGCGAATAGGTCTATTGCCGACGAAAGTTTTAGTCGCGCAAACATTATTATTGGCGACTAACATTTTTGGTCGGAGAATGTGACAATTGGCGATTAACATATTTAGTCGGGAAAATATTACTTTTAGCGACTAAAGTGTTTTAGTTACGAAATAGATTAGTTGTAGTAATTATATGTTTAGCAATCAAAAATTTAGTCGGCAAATAGAACTTTTTCCCAACTAAAAAACTTTTTAGTCACTAATTACTTTTCACAGCCCTCAATTGGCGATCAAAGTGGTGACTAAAAATATTAGTCACGGATAATTTTTGCCTACTAAAAATAGACTTTTGCCGACTAAATTTTTAGTCGTCAAAAGTGTGAATTCCTGTAGTGGTGTTTCTAATTAATCACGTTTTGCGGGAATAACATGATGATTCACTTTTCTTAAGTTTAGAAGACAAGATTATCTGTTTGGTATATTGATTAATAATGGAACGTGATATTTGAGGATGTATTTAATAATAATTTTTGAAAATTTAGAGCATTATTAATAATGTTAAGTTGACTAACAAAAAAATGTCACCATGTTTGTTTTCTATGATAAAAGATCATCCTCAGGGAATTAGAACTTATCTTTCAGAAGAACACCTTATGAGTGGGAATTGATGCAAATTACTAGACTGTACAGTGCATTATCTACTGTCCCAACCCTCAGGTTTGGAGAGGCTGACAGACCTGTTTGGCTTGGCTCATCTTCAGGTTTTTTCAAAGCAGCTGATGTGTATAATTTTAGCAATGCCTCCCTTGGTTCCAGTTATAATATCTGTAAGTTCATCTGGAATAAAGATCTCCCTCCCAAAATTCAATTCTTCAGCTGGTTGGCTTGGAAAGACTGAATCAAATCTATTGCTTTCCTTCAAAAGATTAGGGTTCTCAATGATAATGCTTCTACACTGTGTATCTTCTGCAAATCTGAATCTGAATCAGCCAGCCATGTGCTATTATTTTGCCCATTTTCTTGGTCTATGCTGCAGTGGTGGGAGATTCAATGGGTGACACCAAGCTCAGTTGAAAGTCTCTTTCATTGGTGGAAGGGGGGTAAATTTAAAAGCTTGGAAAAAAGGATATAGAGAGCTCTACCATTAATCACCCTCTGGTCACTCTAGAAGCTGAGGAACGAGTGCATTTTCAATGGAGTGCAACCCAATTGCTCTGAGTTGAGTGAGCTTATAAAGGTAAGACTTGCATTATGGATAAAAGCTTCAATACAAGACTTCCACTACTCAGTGAACGACTTAATATTCAATCTAAGTTGGGTGAGGCTCTGTCTTTGAGTGTGTCAAGGTGCTTGACTGATAGGCTGCTCGGGCTGCCTTCAAGGTGCTTGGCTGTTAGGCCGCTTGGGCTGATAGGCCGACAGACTCTGCCTCTGTCTCTGCTGGTTCCTGTATGCTGTTGTTTGCTATGCATGCTGTTTGGGGTCTGCTGTATATGCTGTTTCTGGCTATTCTGTTTAGAGGAGTAGTTTTGTTGCTATTACTTCAGAGTGCTGTTGTTCGGTTCTGGTCTGCTTCTGTCTGTGGCTGTTCCAATTTGTGCAGGTTCTATGGGGTGATAAAATGGAAACTCAATGGTTTGGAGCTGGTGTAGAATGGTCTTCTTGTTTGTTGTTGTTCTATTTGATGGGTTTTTGTTTGTTTTGATTGGTTTCTGGTGAATCTTGAGTTAGTGCTTGCATATGATTGTGCTTCTTTTGTGGTACCAACTTAGTTAGGATTATAAAGGTTAGCTATGATGCTTGTGCACTTCCCAGATTTGTTGATGTATCTTTGCATGTACCTTGCTCTTTCATCAATAAATCTTTTATTTTGTTGATAAAAAAAAAAATGTTTGTTTTCAATTTTTTAAAAACACTTTTCAGAAAATTCTATTTTTTTATTTTTTTGTATTTTTTGTATTTTTACTTATTTTTTTAATATTTTAAGCAATTTTTTTTTTTAATTTTTAGATACACCTAACATAAATACACTTAAAAAGTATAATTATCGTGAAAAAAAATCTTCAAAAACTCACCAAATACAAAATATACACACAAAAAAAAAAAAAAACGTAAATTCAATATATTTTTCATATTTTTGTGTATTTATTAAAATTTTAAAATATTTTTTCACAAATATTTTACTTAAAAAAGTTAAAAAAATGTTTAAAATTTTAACATCTCCTTTTTTGTGTATCCAAAATTTTTTAATCAATCAAGAGTTAAATCCATTTGCCCTGTGACTTTGTTTCCATCACAATTAATTACATCTAAGGAAAAAAAATGAAATGATCTGATAATTGTAACCACATGATTTTACAATATTTGTTTAAATAATAATAATAATAATATTAATAATAATAAAACGATGATTTAAATTATATAACTACAATTATTAAATCAATTTAACTTTTCTTTCGAAAATGATGAAATAATTGAGACCTTTTACATACTTTTACGTAAAATTTATTTTCAAAACCTTAGCCTCAAATCGAAAGAATTATTGCTGATACTTCTTCCTCCAACATTATTTCATACTACAAAAACTTAGACTCCATACCAATAACTAGTTTAAAAGAACAAGAAACAACTCCAACAACAGTAACAAGAAGTAGTGACTCAAGCCAACATTGGAAACCAAGGTGGATGCGTTCGTGGCCAAGATAATGACCATCCAAGTTTCTCCTGAATATATGCCAACTCTAGTGTAATTGGAACTACTGAGGTACTTTGAGTATTGCGATTGCATACAATTTGTGCAGGCTATACTAGTGCCAACAATCTTGGCAACACAAATAGGCAATATGACCCCATCTCTGGTCATGCTATTTTTTATTTTGCACACTTTCAAAAGATTGGGATAGTCTGTAGGCAGTTGAGGGTGGGAGCCCATGGTGGCGATGGTGATGGGCCTCATGTTGGTACAAGTTTCGCTGTCTAACTGGTTAGTAACTATTTGCTCGACAAGGCACATCACTTTATGATTCTTTGAGAGTAGCTGCAGGTTCAAGATTTTCCTGTGATTATTGATACCGTTAAGCAGACTATCTTCAATACCTGCAATTTAGTGCAGGATATGGAAATATCAAAATAGTTATAATTTAAATATGATACCAAAGAATGAGTAGCTTAAATTTAACATCTAAGTTCTGTTTTTGATCTAGAATTAACGTTTGAGTTTGAAGGCCGTACGGTTACTATATTAGCTAGTCACTTCTTTAGTACCTACTGCATCAAACTCTCTATTCTAACTTAATCTTATTAAAATATTATTTTCTTATTGTGTTTATTATTCTTTCTTTTTTTTTTTTATTAAATTGATGAGTTACCAACAAAACAATTCTTAAAAAATGTAAATAAATAATAAAAAAAAGGCCGTTGATAGATTGGATATCCGATAACACACAAGTATCGATGAACTGTACCTCGCTTGTTGTAACGAGATACTGTAGTAAATACAAATTTTGGCGAGCTGCAAGCGAGACTGATGGAGGTGGTTTTTTGAAATTTATATCGTTAATTTAGCTAAGAAACAATTTTAACGATTCTGATGCTGATGCTCTTATAGTAAAATCTCAAATGAGGTATTTTTTATATTTAATATTAATTTAAATTGTAAAAATGTGAGATTTTTAAAAACTTTCACTGTAAAAGTTTAAATAATATTGATTAAAATCTCAAATCTTATTGTTTGGGAAATTGGGTTTAGGTTAAAATAGCTAATAAAGACAAAATAAGTTAAAATAGTTAATAAGACAAAATATCACATTCAAACTATAATCATTTCAATTTTTCTCTCACAATTATCAAATCAACTATAAAAAAGCTAACTATCATTCCAAACACAATTTTTTTAGTCAAATTAAAATAATTAAAAAATTAAAAAGTCAATTAGAATAACTTATTCCCAAAGGGGAAATGTTAAAATTTTATACTTATAACTTTCAAAAAAAAATTTGTTGTGTCCCGATAATATATAGTGTACCAAATACAAACTGCCATTTATAATTCTAATCATTATCATTGTCAACATCCTTGTTGCTGTTATTTTTTCCCTATACACAAGAGATGGGAAATGAAATGCTTCACATTTTTTTTTTTATATATAAACTTTTCCCTTTTCTCGTTTCTATTTAAGGAGCAGAAATATATAACACAATCACATAACATTTTTAAAAGGAAAACATGAAAAATAAGATGAAAAGAGAAATGGCAAATGAGAGAGAGAGAGATAGTACCATCACAGTGGACTGGTTTAGATAGCAGTAAAATAAAATGGAGAAACATGAAGAGGAGGAAAGGAAGCTGGAAAGACGATGCCATTATATTTCTTTATAAACAAAAAAATAAACAATGTGTATGTATTTGTCACATTAAAAACATTATTAAATAGTAAATATATAAGCATCTACTACTTGCCTTGGTTTTGAAGGTATGCTTTCTTTTTAACATATACCAGATAGCCTTTACAACTGTTGTGACTTCTAAGCAGCCAAATTAAACAAATGAGACTTCGCTTTCAAAAGTTAGGTTCTTTTAGATATCCCCTTATGCTAATCTTATCAATATTCAATTATCAAATTCAAATCATTTCTATTACATAGATGAAATGTAGATGCTTATTTTCATATTTAATGTTTGTAAAAATAAAAAAGTAAAAAAATTGCATCAACAATTGTAAAGTTAATAGGATCTTGGTGCAATTGACCCTTAATCCTAAATCCTTAATTATTTACTATAATTATTAATTTAATTATATATATATATTATATCACAATTAATCCTAAATCATTAGTTGTTTATTGTAGAGAAAATTACCAGTAATTTGAAAAAAATTATGTATTACATATTTGTAAAAAAATTTATGATTTTAATTATCAATATTGATAAACTTTACCACTTATTTGTAATTATTTTTTTAAGTTTTACACTAATATGAAATTTCTACTTTATTGTAATGAGTAATGTTAGGAACTCTAAATATTTTACCAAATGTCTCACATGGGTGTCCCACACCCATGTGACACATTTGGTAAAATATTTGGGACCTCTAGCATTTTTCTATTGTAATTCCTAACATCTTAATCTAATTTTAATTTAGATCAATCCTTCTTTTTTTCTTTTTTTTTTATCAGCAAAAAAACTCTTTATTGATGATAACACACCAGCAATACAACTTGATATTCATCAACAAAGAGGGAAGACAAGAGCAAAAAGTATCATTGCAAACTTGCCCAATCCCAACTAAGTTGGCACCAAGGAGAAAGCACAATCATCTCCTAGCTCAAGCCACGATGTTGGTGAGAAACCAACCAAAGAGAGAACAAGCAAAACTAAGACAGCAAACTAGTGCAAAAAACAGAACACAACTCCGATTCCAAGTCAATAAGACTCCAATAGCAACTGCATACAATAGCAGTATACAACAAAAGATCACAACAACACAAACAAATAAACACTCCAGCAGCACCAACCAGAGGACAACCTTTGAGCACCCAAGAATAAGACAACCAACCCTTCCACCATTCAGCCACCATTCCTTCCTAAGACTCCAACATACAACATACAACAGCAAAAGAACTCCCTTATGTATTCATTTAAAACTGAGAGCCAACTGGTGATGCAAAAAAAACATTCCTTTCACCATTCAGCCACCATTCCTTCCTAAAACTCCAGCATACAGCAGTAGCAGAAGAGCATCCAAAATGTATTCAGCAGCACAGACCAGAATTGCTTCATACAGCAGCCACAGAGGAGCAACATTCAGCAGCCCTAACAGTTCCAATAGAAGCAGCAACCATTAGCAGCCCTAGCACACCTCACATAATGCAACTCCTGATCCAAAACTTCCAACATCCAATGACACACCAGCAGCATAGTAGGAATACATAGTAGAAATACCAGCAGCAGAGCATAAGCACCAGAAAGAAACTAGAATTCACCCTTCACCTAAATCTGTGTCTGTCCAGAAACCATCCCCAGCTTAACAGCAATTAGGTTCACCCCAGAAGGTCACTTAATATCATCACAACTTTTCTACTTAATACACCATTACCCATCACTTCATGCATCGCCTGATCTGTTGTAAGTTTGAAGCAAACTGATTAAGTGAATAATATCTTCCCACCATATTTGATTTCAACCACATGGCCACCCTAACCTTGATAATCTCACACAGATCTTCACTGTTGGGCTGAACCTCATTGAAGATGACATCATTTATGTGCTTCTAAACAGACCAAAAAATTGTTACAGGAATCGCTTTCCATGTCTGTAATTCCCCCTTTTTAAACTTCCAGTCACTCCACCACTGAAGCAGCCCTTCCACTGTACCAGGCACTACCTATTGCATACCCCACCATCTTATTATGCTAGACCATATATTCCTTACAAAATGACAGTGCAACATTATATGATTTAATGACTCCTCCTCTGTTCCATACAGAGCACATAAAAATCCCACTCTTGGATCAACAGCCCCAATCTTATGTAAAAAATCCATTGTCTTTATTCTCCCTTTCCATACCAACCAAGCAAAGAACTGAGTTTTTGGAGCTGCTGCATTGTTCTAGATCAAACCAGATAGTCGTTGCCTTGAACCAGTAAGCCGCTCACACCAGTTAAAAACTGATTCAACACTGAAACGCCCAAAACCATCAGCTTTCCACCTGATGTTATCCATATTTTCCAGACACAGACTTGGTCTTGAGCCTAATTCCTCTTTCAACGTTCTTAACTCATCATCCTCCTCCTATGTCAGTAAAAGTCTTCTAAACTTGAAGATCCAATCATCGATGTTACCTTTTCTAACCACCATGTCTTTCAGTGATACCCCTTTATCAGTGGAAATGCTAAACAGTCTTGGATATTTATCCTTCAGGTAGAACCTACCCAGCTACGCATCCTCCCAGAACTTAATCCTACTCTCACTCCCAACTCTGATTTCAACATTTTCCATGAAAAAAATTAAAGAGCCTAGTATTAGAGTGAACTACTGATAGTATATCACTCCAGATCTTGGAACTATCGCAATCAACCATATGAAAAGGGAACCATCTGCCACCTTCAGCACCATACCTTCTACAAATCAGAATCTTCCATAGAGCAACATCTTCAACCCTGAACCTCTACCACCATTTGACCAATAGACTCTGATTTACTGTTTTAATGTCCCTGATACCCTGGCCTCCAAGATTCTTACTCATTGTAGTTTCCTTTCACTTCACTAAGTGTATCTTCCTCTTCAGATCAGAGTCACCCCATAGGAATGTTGATTGTATCTTATCAATCTCCTTGGCTATTCCTTGAGGCATCTTAAATAAGGACATGTAATACACTAGCAGGTTGGAAAGCACAGATTTAATTAGTGTCACTCTATCAGCAAAAGAGAGCACTCTTCTCTTCCAACCAGCTAATTTTGCCTTGGACTTGTCCACCACAGCCTTCCAAAAATGCTTTCTTCTAGGATTAGCCCCTAAAGGCATACCCAAGTACTTAAAAGGAAGTGTTTGACTTGTGCAATTTAGTCTTGAAACAAACTTAGCAATTGTATTCTCATCAATTCCCACTCCACTGACAGCGCTTTTGTGATAATTAATCTTTAACCCAGAAACTACCTCAAAGCATCTTAAAATTCTCTTCACATTTGAGACCTCTACCCAATCTGCCTCACAAAATAAGACTGTATCATCAGCGAATTGCAGGTGAGATATCTTCACTCCTTCATCCCCAATCATAACCCCTTGTATCAAACCTATTTCTCTGGCTTTTGATAACAACATGCTCAGCCCTTCAACTGCGATAATGAACAAAAATAGAGAGATTGGATCCCCTTGCCTCAACCCTTTTTGGGGACACACTTCTTCGGATGGAGAGCCATTAACTAGACAAGAAACCGAAATTGAACTTAGGCAAGACCTCATCCATTCCACCCATTTGGTCTCAAACCCAAACTTGCCCAACATATCAAACAAATAACTCCAATTTACTATATCATACGCTTTTTCAAAATCAAGTTTTAAAATTAGCCCACTTTTCTTGGATTTTTTCCACCAGTCTATCACTTCGGTTGCTACTAATATCCCATCCAGTATACTTCTCCCACTCAGGAATGCAGACTGTGTTGAGCTAATGATACTTAGTAATACTTGTTTTAATCTACTCGCTAAGACTTTTGATAGAATCTTGTACATGGAATTTATGAGACTGATTGGTCTATAATCATGTATACTTGTTGGGTTTTCCTTCTTAGGAATCAAGGATACAAAAGAAGCATTCAGGCCCTTTACCAGCTTCTTATTCTCATGAAAATCTGCCATAAATTTGAGAATATCATCCTTCATTATCCTCCATCCCTTTTGGATGCAAATCAAGTTAAATCCATCAGGTCCAAGGGCTTTATTCCCATCACACTCCTTAATAGCAGCCCATACTTCTGATTCAGAAAACTCTTTCACCAACAACTAGACAGGGTGGAATTAGCCTAAAAGCTCCACCAAGCTTTGGTCTAACCCTCCAAGCTTTTGCAAATGCCTCTCCAAAGTACCTTGCAATTTCCCGTTTCATTTCTTGAGGATTGTTGTACGAAGTACCCTTGATTATGATTGAATCCATCAGATTTCTACTCAACCTCTTTGTGGCCATAATGTGGAAATACCTAGTATTTTTATCTCCTTTTAAAGCCCAATTTACTCTGGATTTCTGCACCCAAATCCATTCCTTCATTTTTCTCGGTTTCTAAATCTCTCCCTTTGAACTCTCTTCTTCTGGATATTTCAATATCATTCAAAGGCCTTTCCTCAGCAGCCAAGTCTAGAATATGCATCGCATCCTCTGCCTCTTTGAGCTTATAATCAACATTCTCAAACACTTCAATATTCCATACTTTCAGGGTTTCTTTCAAAGCTTTCAGTTTAACCTTTAATCTGAACCCAGCCCATCCATGCACCTGAGTATTTTCCCAAACTGATTTTACCTTATCCAGAAAGGTAGGGTGAAGAACCCAAGCATTTAAGAACCTAAATGTTTTAGATCCCCAATCCCTCTTATCCACCATTAATAATATTGGACAGTGGTCAAATAATGACCTAGAAAGCCCCCACAATTTGAATCTAAACCATTCTAACCATTCTGGGCTAACTAAAAATCTATCCAATCTACTCCATCTCTCCCCTTTTTGAGAGTTGCAACACGTATACCTCCTCCCAATCATTGAGACATCCACTAATTCCAATGTATTTTTAAAATCATTGAACTCATTCATCCCACCATCCCTCATAATATAGCCTTTTCTTTCAGTCACTGCTTGAACTTCATTAAAATCTCCCTCAATGCACCATGGTTTGGGAAACTTAGGCTAAAGATTACCC